TCAGTCCCTGGAAATATTCATTTTCAAGGTTAGAATAAAACAGAGAAAAATACTGTAACAAGTTAATGAGGAATCAGTGCTCATCTAATGCTACTTACTGCAGTCCTTGGGCAGACAAATCTCCAGCTAAAACATTTTATTTATGCATTTTAATATTTAATGTGTACTTATTTGATTAATATACTTGTTTTTTAGACTATTTAATATTTGTATTAGTTATAGTTTAGACTGCGAGTATATTTTTTCATAATACATTGCAGCACTAATGGAACTGAGCGGAACAGCACAATGCAGCAGCCTGGTTTTCTATACATCTTTTTGAAAGCTAGATTAGGTATCGCTTTTCAGCAATACATTTTACTGGTTACACTATGGAAAAGACCTGTTTCTTCTCCAATGGAAACAGCACAAATGTTTCAGATGGGTAGGCAGTTTACCAAAGGGCTTATAAGGTTGAGGCAATTTAAATTAATTTCTCAACAGAAAATTTTTTGCTGTGCAAAAAATAAATAAAGAAAGAAAAATAAAAGCAAAAATCAGGCACCATTTAGTAGTTCCAGGAATTATTATTATGCTCTGAGAGCTTGCTTTCAATACGTAACACACAAAAAGATTTGTACAAAGAGATTTGTCGAGACATATACTTCTTTTGAATGTCAGAGAGGTTTCTAGTCTTTTTACGTTGATTCTCTTCGGCAAAGAGCAGTGTACCAGGAACTCTGGAGATGCACAGCCCTTATTTTTCATTGCTTAGGAGTTTTTAGCCCTTTTGCCCTAGAACATTAATACTAATTCTAATTCATTATTTCAAACAATATTCCTGGTCCTTGAACCTCTCTTTCTTCCCTTGATACTGACACAAGGAAGAATCTTGAATGCCGTAAAAATTGCGTCCAGTCCCTGAAGACAGGCAAGCTAACATCTGCTTGGAGTAAGTGAGCAACTCTTAGCATCAGAAAGTCCAGAAGAAAAAAAACGGGGAAAAAAGCAGGAAAGGACATGG